TGTTTATTACTGTTGTCACGGTCACCGCACCAACCAGCACCCCCCCCATTCCCAACACTAGCCTCCGAGTCCGGATTTGAGTCAACAAATTTACAATCCACCAGGAATCGAACCCTTCTTCCCTCAACATTGAAGTCTAATGTCTTCAGATCGCGAGTAACCTCAAACCCACCTCCACAACCTCAGGGTCCTTATGTGGTCTGGGGAACTCCCCACCCTCCCCCGCGCACAACTGCAGACCCACGCGGTTGATCCCTTAAGGGCCCGGAAAGGACCTGCATTTCTGCGGCGCCTAGCACGCCTCGGCTTGGTCAGCCTTTTGTCGGGTGGGGGGATGGATCGATGCCACGGCTGCGAACATGGGTGGGGGTCGAGCGCGTTCGCCAATTGGTGTGGTGGTAATCCCTTGCCAAGATGGACGCCCAGATGGTGGACATTGGATTGGACGCCAAGCAGGCATTAACCCTTTCCCCGTTCAATAGACAATGTTGGGATCGTCAGTGCCCACACCGCTCCCCCCCAACCCCACAAGGGGTGCGACAGGGTTGGGGGGGTGATGGGGGGCATTGGTGGGGGGGGGGGGGGTGCCTTGCCCCAAAAGGCAGCGCAGCCCTTGATAATCTCCTCCACGCGACAAGAGATTAAGCGACAGAGCGGTTCCCAACTTACCAGGCAAACATGGTGGAGAGCTTACAGGGGTGGGTGGATTGGACGTGTAGCTGTTATTGGTTGGATCCGGTGAATAAATCTGCTTGAAAAGACAAGATCACCGGTCATTAGCTGTGGGATCTACTCACCACGGTTTTGCACAGGCTTCCATTATTGGTAAGCTCACCAGATTCCTCCCCCCTCCCTCTCTATCAACATCCTGGAGGTTACCCATTGACCAGAAACTGAACTGGGACCCAGCCCCATATCGATACAGGGGGCTACAAGAGCAGGTCAGAGGCTGGGAATCCTGCAGCGAGTAACTCCCGTCCTGACTCTCCCCAAACCCACCATCGACAAGGTGGGAGAGTGAGGGAATACCACCCCCCCACTTGCCCTGGATGGAGGGCAGCTCCGACAAACACTCGAGAAGCTTGACACCGTCCAGGGACAAAGCAGCCCCCCACCCCCACCTTGGATTGGCACCACATCCACAAATACCCACTCCCTCCGCCACCGACGCTCAGTCGCAGCAGTGTGTACCATCTACAGCGACTCCCCAAGTCAGCACCTTCCAAACCCGGGACCTCTACCCCCCTCTCAGAGGGGGCAAGGGGCAGCAGATACATGGGGACACCAGCCCCCTGCAAGTTCCCCTCAGAAAGAAGAAATTCCTCGCCAACTCTATCTTCAATGGGCGACCCCCCTATTCTGAGATGATGTCCCCCTGGTCCTAGACTCTCCCACACACAAGGGGGAAACACCCTCCCCACATCTCCCCTGTCAATTTCCGCTGAAGAATCTTGTCTGTTTCAATAAGGTCGCCTCCCAATCTTCTGAGCTCCAGGAGTAGAAGCTCCAACCTACCCAACACCTCCTCAAAAACACAGTCCATCGATCTCTAGGATTAGCCGAGCGAACTTTCTCTGGGCTGCCTCCAGTCTATCTTTGCTTGGATACAGGGCCCCCGAAACTGATCACAGTATTCCGGCTGTGATCTGACTAGAGACTTGAATAGTTGTAGCAAAACCTCCCCAACTTTTCCACCCCATTCCCTTCAAAATAGAGGCCAGTGTTCTGTTCGTCGTCTGTATTACCCACTGAAAGTCAGATGCCGGGCTTTTTGTAACACGAGAAATGGTATTGTTTGACCCCCACACACCCCTCAGAGACATGTTCTGGATGGGAGAACGTTTTAATCACAGAAATGCCACGGTCCACCCGCTATCCATGTCCGTACTAGCTCACAGCTAAGGTTGCGAGCTCCGTTCTGCTCGCTTGCCCCAACGGGCCGTGCATCGGATATTCCGAACCGGCAAATTGCGAACTGGCAAAAACCGCGTTTGGAAAATGGGCCGGGAACATCAGATGGCATTCAGCCCCGTCCCATCCGAGCACAGGGCACATTGTTTTGGGAACAGCTCCACAAGCTGAGAGCTTGAGGGACTGGGATTGTATTCCGATTCTCGCCCGCAGTGTGGACCCCCTTCCAGCAGCTGATCGCGTCCCGCCTGGGGACCCACCTCGCACGGGCCAGGGTCAGCGCCGAGGGAGCGGGCGCTGTCGGAGGGTCAGCGCCGAGGGAGCGGGCGCTGTCGGAGGGTCAGCGCTGAGGGAGCGGGCACCGGAGGGTCAGCGCCGAGGGAGCGGGCGCCGTTGGAGGGATGGCGCCGAGGGAGCGGGCACTGTGCATTGGGTCTAACAAGGGTGATAAAAAGCAGGCCATTTAGCCAGGGTGGGGCGGGTGATGTTGGGAGTAGAACCATATTTCGGTCAAGCGTTAAATCCAACACCGTCGTGTTGGACTCAGGAATTCAGGCACAGAGGCTGTGAGTAAATGAAAGGGGACAGTCTCACACACCCATGGCTGATGGGGAGTGTTCTTATTACTGGACTGTTAATCCAGAGACCCAGATAACATTCTTGTGACCTGGGTTCGAATCCCGACACGGCAGATGGTGAAATTTGGATTCAATAAAAATATCTGGAATTAAGAGTCTAATGATGACCGTGAATCTGTTGCCGATTGTCGGAAAAACCCATCTGGTTCAATAATGTCCTTTAGGGAAGGAAACTGCCATCCTTACCTGGTCTGGGCCTACATGTGACTCCAGACACACAGCAATGTGGTTGACTCTTAACTGCCCTCTGGGGCAATTAGGGACGGGGCAATAGATACTGGCCCAGCCAGCGACACCCTCATCCCGTGAATGAATAAAGAATAAAGAGATTGATTCCCTTCAACATCCTTAAGGCATCTCCAATACAGGAGGGTGAGGGGAAAAGTCCATTATTGGTCAGCTTTACAGATTCTGCTCCACGTTGTTACCCCTCTTCGAATATTCTGAGCATTAATAGAGGCGTGGAGTACAATTCAACACAGAGAAGTGTCTCATTCCTAGACTTCTATCTTAAAAACGTGTAAGTTGATGCATTTCAGTGGGAACAACATTGAGAAACTAGTTAAGACAGGGGAACAGTGGGATATAGGTGTATGAATGATTGAAGGTGAGAGGACACAGGAAGAGAGCAGTTATTAATTTACACTGCGTCCTCACCCTTAGGGGTGATAGGGGCATCGAGTCTAGAGATGCTTAGTTGCACAAGACACTTATCAGACCTCAGATGGAATATGGTGTACAGTTCTGGGCCCCACATTATACAGAAGATGGGAATATATTTAAGAGAGACAGCAGAATGATTTGCAAGAATGGTTTCAGCAATCAGAAACTTCAGGAGAGATTGACGAAGTTAGGAGCCGGCACTGTTGGAAGGTCAGCGCCGAGGGAGCGGGCGCTGTCGGAGGGTCAGCGCCGAGGGTGCGGGCGCTGTCGGAGGGTCAGCGCCGAGGGAGCGGGCGCTGTCGGAGGGTCAGCGCCGAGGGAGCGGGTACTGTTGGAGGGTCAGCGCCAAGGGTGCGGGCGTTGTCGGAGGGTCAGTGCCGAGGGAGCGGGTACTGTCGGAGGGTCAGCGCCGAGGGAGCACCGCACTGTCGGAGGGTCAGTGCCGAGGGAGCGCCGCACTGTCGGAGGGTCAGTGCCGAGGGAGTGGGCGCTGTCGGAGGGTCAGCGCCAAGGGTGCGGGCACTGTCGGAGGGTCAGCACTGAGCGAGCACTGTGTACAGTTTTAGCAAAACCTCCCGACATTTATACGCCATTCCCTTTGCCTTCCCTATTACCCGCGGAAATTGGGAACGGCCGGCCTTCTGGGGACTCCTGGACAAGGATTTCCCCAAATCCCCCTCCAGCTTCCTGCAGTGTTTGAAATAAGATTCTATTAACTTTTCCTTCATCGCACTGTTAAGCCGAATGAGCTTTCTGTGATCTGCCTCTGACACATGGTTTCAAACCTGCACTCGATTTTCCTAACCCGATGTTCCCTCAAAACCTGCTGGCTTTTGGGAATCCACCCTGGGAGCTGTCTCGAGATCAAATCAAGCCAAAATCAACACCTAATTCCGAGTGTTGTCAGTGAAAACAAGGTGGAAGTGGGGACCTTGTCCAGCTCTCAGAACTAGCAGGGCAGTTTCTGAGCAAGGATTGAATCAGAGAATACACAGTTGCTTTGTCTTTGGAACAAAACTCAGGGCCAGGCTTTCGGGAGTTGGTAACTCTGAGACACAAACCAGGGTCCTGGTATCAAAGGAAGGTGTGAGGTCGAACAACACACATAGGAGTCAGAGATCTTGCTGCTTTGGGAGGCTCCTCGTGACTCCCTTCCATTGTGTCGGATGCCAGTGTTGAGAAGGAAAGGGAGATGGAGGGAGGGAGAGAGAAAGTGAAGGTGGAAGCGCACGAGGGAGAGAGGGAGTGTGAGAGAACGCGAGACTGAGAGGTGGGGGGAGAGAGAGAGAGGGGCAGGGGTGTGAGAAAGGGAGGGAGGAAATGAGCATGAAAGAATGAGAGGGAGCATGAGAGCGCACGTTAGAGAGAGATAGGGAGTAAATGAGAGAGTGTGAGAGCACACGAGAGAGAGATATAGGGAAAGAGAGAGGGGTGAGAAGGACGAAAGAAAATGAGCATGAAAGAACATGAGGGAGAGAGAGAGTGTGAGAGAGAAAGAGAACAAGATAGGGAGCAAAAGCGAGAAGGAGTGACAGACAGAGTGACAGAGGAAAGAGAGCGATAGGGAGGAACAAGACAGGGGGAGCGAGAGAGCACATGAGAGAGAACAAGACAGAAAGCAGAAGATGGTGAGATAGAGAGAATGACAGAGAAGGATAGAGAGATAAAGTGAGAGAGTGAGTGCATGAGAGGGAATAGGAGAGAGCGTGCAAGAGGATCAGTGAGAGAATGAGTGATGAGAGAGAGAGATTGAGAGAGACAGACAGACAGAGTGAAAGAGAGAGCATGAGAGGGTGAGGGAGTGAGATCAAGTGGAAAGGGAGATGGCACAGGGGGAGTGGGGGGAGCAGGAGAGGGTGAGGGAGCGGGAGTGAGGGCGCGGGAGAGGGCGAGGGAGCAGGAGAGGGCGAGGGAGCGGGAGAGGGCGAGGGAGCGGGCATGGGAGAGAAAGCAGGAGCGGGAGAGAAAGCAGGAGAGGGCACGGGAGAGGGAGAGGGTAATGGAGCAGGTGAGGGAGCGGGAGAGGGAGCGGGAGAGGGCGCGGGAGCGGGAGAGGGAAAGGGCACAGGAGCGGGAGCGAGAAAGGCCGTGGGAGCAGGAGAGAAAGCAGGAGAGGGCGCGGGAGAGGGAGAGGGCACAGGAGCGGGAAGGGGAGAGAGAGGGGGAGGGAGCGGGAGAGAGAGCAGGAGAAGGCGCGGGAGCAGGAGAGGCAGAGGGCACGGGCGCGGCAGTGGGAGAGGGTGCGGGAGCAGGAGAGGGGGCGGGACAGGGCATGGGAGAGAAAGCAGGAGAGGGTGTGGGAGCGGGAGAGGGCGTGGGAGCGGGAGAGGGTGAGGGTGAGGGTGCGGGAGCGGGAGCGACAGAGGGAGCGACAGAGGGAATGAAAGAGCATGAGAGAGAAAGGGTAAGAGCGAGAGAGAAAGGGTAAGAGCGAGAGAGAGAGTGTGAGTGACAGAAAGGGAGAGAGAGAGGCAGAGGGAGTGACAGAGGGAGACACAGAGCGAGCGGGAGTTTGAGAGAGAGTGAGTGTGTGAAGACAGACGGAGAGACACCTTGCTTTGAGGGGGGAAACGTGCCCTCAATACATGCCCTCCGTTCGGCAATCCCCTCAGAACGTGATCTCTACCAATAAGGTCCCTTCATTCCCCTCAACTTCAAAGGGGAGAGGTCCAAATCTGCTCAGCGTTCCCCCTCCCAGCCCAACACCCCCACCCCAGGTACCAGACGGGGTGAACCTCCTGGGCGTGGGTTCGGGACGGGCACCGTTTGGACTTACCGAGGCCAAAGCTTTACCCAAAGCATCACCAGTCTGAGAGCTGCCAGCCACTGAGACTCTGCCCCCTGTAGGTCAAAAACCAAGAGCAAATTACACACTGCAACAGGGGCATCAAGGGGCAACCGAGGGGGCAAACACTGCCCCAGAGTGCTGGCAGCGTGGCACTTACCCATCAGAGTGTCCGAAGTGTTGAGGGGAGGCGTGTGTGAGGATGTGACAAACGCTGTGGAGCTGTTGGCACTGCGATGGAGACTTGCAACTGGAGGGACAGTGGTGTTTCCCTCGGACGGAGGGTAAGGCTGGAGGGAGACAGGGTAAAACGCAATTACACGATGGCGCCCGCTCCCTCAGCGCTGACCCTCCGACAGCGCCCGCTCCCTCGGCGCTGACCCTCCGACAGCGCCCGCTCCCTCGGCGCTGACCCTCCGACAGCGCGCCCGCTTGGAACTGACCAGGCGTTCCTGGAGGTTCCCGTAGCTGGTCCCCTGGCTCAGGTGGGACGAGGGAGCTGCTGGGAGTCCTGTGTAACTGGTTTGGTTGATGGTGCCAGATGTTGGCCACAGATCAGACGGTGTGTGGTGTCCCTCTGCTAAAAATAAAAGCAAATGCAGAAGTGAGACTCCCCCCAACATTTCTAATCCCCAAATTCCACCCTCCTCTGCCCTCAGCAACCCTCCACCCCAGAACCAAACAGCACGGGCAGAGGCCATTCGCTCCATTGGCCCCGTGCCAGCCCTTTGGAAGAGCTCTCTGAACCCTCCCATTCCTTTCACCCCCAGAACAAAAGGAACAGGGTCCCTTCAGGATTCTTATGATGTTTAAAGGTTTTGGCAAAGATCTGTACTGTGGGAGAGATTGCTGTCTTGCTCTCCGAGCTGGTTATCGTTTAGACGTTTTGTCACCATACTAAGGTAACATCATCAGTGAGGCCTCTGATGAAGCGATCCTGTTCTACTCTACTTGGAATTTATACTGTCTGGTCCGTTATGGTGAGTAGAGTCATTTCCAGTTCTGTTCTGCACGGGTTTGTACATGGGGTCCAATTCTATATGTTTGTTGATTGCATTATAGGTTGAGAACCATGCCTCTAGGAATTCCCCTGCATGTCTATGTTTGGCTTGGGATAAAATAGTTATGTTGTCGCAGTTAATAGCCAAGCCATTGATCTACTTGTACACTTGACCGTTAAAGATGAGGCATGTGGTGAGACACAGGTCTGGTAGTTTGAGTGTGTTGCCACTGCTGATGGAGCAAACTAATAGACCTGTGTTTCACCGCACACTTCATCTTCAATGGTCAAGTGTACAAAGTGTACATCTCAGGGCTCATCGCAGAAGCAGTCATGCAAAGACTAGAACACACCGCCCTCCCCCTCATTCAACCTAAACTGTGGATATGGTACATAGACGACACATTTGTCATCATCAAACGCAACAAACTAGAAGAGACCCAGCACCTCGTCAACAGTGTATTCGGCGGGATTAAATTCACAAGGGAGGAAGAAAACAACAGTCCGCTTCCGTTCCTGGACATCAGAGTTGACCGTATGACCAACGGGGTGTTCCTAACCTCAGTATACAGATAAGCAACTCACACTGACCAAATCCTCACCTTCTGCAACAACAGTCCTAACGCCCACAAACAAAGCCCACATTAGGACACTATTTAAAAAAGGCCACGACACACTGCAACATTCCAGAACTACGCAGGAAAAATCCTGGCTATAAACAGATATCCCCGCAACTTCATCCGCAGTTGCCTACAAGACAGACAACATCAGGAGGACACAGTACGCTCTAACACACTGCCCTACATCAGGAGCATACCAGAACTGATAACGAGACTCCTATGACCACTTTGAACCATGGTGGCCCACAAGCCTACAGCCACTCTACAACAAACACTTACAAGGATTAAAGACCCCATTCCCACATCATGCAGAACGAACGTGGTTTACAAAATACCTTGCAACGACGGCCACAAACGTTACATTGGACAGACAGGAAGGAAACTAGCCATCAGAATACACGAACATCAGCTAGCAGCAAAATAGCACGACGAGCTCTCCTTAAACTGATGCTGCTTGGCCTGCTGTGTTCATCCAGCTCTGCACCTTGTTGTCTCGGATTCTCCAGCATCTGCAGTTCCTACTATCTCCTTAATATCTGTACATTCAGACAATGAAGGCCATCAATTTAACTGGGACAAGGTCACCATGAGCCTGAGCCAAACATAGACACGCACGGGAATTCCTGGAGGCATGGTTCTCCACCCATACTTCAACCAACAAACATATAGAATTGGACCCCATATACTAACCCATACAGATCAAAACTGGAAATGACACTACTCACCATAACGGGCCGGAGAGTATAAATTCCAAGTGGAGTAGAACAACATCGCTTCATCAGAGGCTCCGCTGATGATGTTACCTCAGCACGGTGACAAAACGTCTGAACGAGAACCAGCCAGCTCAGCGAGCAATTCAACAACCCCACGATCTTACAATCCCCGGGTCTCCCGCACTTGGAGGCTACCAATTCGATTCAGCATGAAGTACCCCGTTGTCAAATAGCCAGCCACCCACCGACGCCAATCCCTGCTGGGGTTTCTGATCCCTTGGGACGAAAAGTGGGAGGGGCGGGGCTTGGGGGAGGAGCGTGTTGCCATATGGGCGGAGAAACGTTGAATCTGCCCCCATGGGAATCAGGAAGACCACGAGGTTATTTCAATGACATGGATAAAATTCCGAGGGGGTTGGGGGGGTGGGGTGGGGCAAGGCCTTGATAATGCCAGGGGGCTTTGAGGACATTTTGCCCACATGTGGGCAGTCTAGAGACAAGGGCGTGGGGGGGAGGGGGGGGTATGGGTGGGATGGGGGCAGCGGGGGTAGACTTTCAGAATGTGAGGTCTCCCTTTGAAGGGGAGGAATTTCTTCCCTCCGAGGGTATGGAGTTTGTGGAATTCTCTCTCTTTCTTTTGTGGAGGGGGGTGTTATTGAGTATATTCGGGGCTTGAGTTGAGAGAGATTTCTGATCGATGCGGGAGTGGAAGGTGATGTGGGTTGGCGGGCAAGGGGGTCCGTGCGGGCTGTGTTGGCGAAGGGGGAAAGCGCTGCTGAGGGTAGAATCGTAATTTCGGTGTAGAACGGTGGGGCAGGTGCCAAAGAGGGCTGAATGGCCTGGTGCCCCCTTCCTTTCTCAATCGCTCATGGAAGGTGCCGTTGCCAGACAGACCGGCATTGATCGCTCAGGCCCAGAGTACAAATCAACCCCATCAGTGAGTGCGGGCCTGGAGTCACGTCTAATCCCAGCCTGGGTAAGAACAGATTTCCTTCCCTCATTAGTGACCACCCTCCCCGCGCCCAATGGATATTTTTAATAACAAAAGATGTTTTTTGTTCATTTGTGGGTATACGGATGGGCCAATGATTATTGTCCATCCCTTATTTCCCGCTAAAGAAGGTGGGGGGTGAGCCTCCATCTTGAACCACTGCAAACCCCTCCCCCGTGTGGTGTAGGGGCACAGTGCCCTTAGGGAGGGAATTCCAGGATCTTGAGCCAGAAAGAACAGCCTGATATATTTCCAAGTCGGGACGGTGTGGGGGGGCTCGCTGGGAAACTTGCAGGGGGCTGGTGTTCCCATGTATCTGCTGCCCCTTGACCCCTCTAGGGGGTAGGGGTCCCGGGTTTGGAAGGTGCTGACATGGGGAGTCGCTGTAGATGGCACACACTGCTGCGACTGAGCGTCGGTGGCGGAGAGAGTGGGTGTTTGTGGATGTGGTGCCAATCCACGGTGGGGGCTGCTTCGTCCCTGGACGGTGTCGAGCTTCTCGAGTGTTTGTCGGAGCTGCCCCCAACCAGGGCAAGTGGGGGGGTTATTCCCTCACACCCCTGCCTTGTCGATGGTGGGTTAGGGGGAGTCAGGACGGGAGTTACTCGCTGCAGGATTCCCAGGCTCTGACCTGCTCTTGTAGCCCCATGTATCGATATGGGGCTGGGTCCCAGTTCAGTTCCTGGTCAATGGTAACCCTCAAGATCCTGATATTTGGAGGGGGGAGGAGTGGGGGGCGCAGAATTCAGTGATGGGAATGCCATTGAATGTCAAGGGGGCGATGGTTGGAGATCATCATTGCCTGGCACAAGTGTTACTTGCCAGTTGTCAAGGACCAATTACTCAGGTTCCTGGTTGGCACAGTGAAAATGGATGCCAAAGCATTGGGGTCACAGGCCTATACACCATCCCCCACCCCCGGCCCCATGGGCATAGCGCACGTACCCTACCTGGCAGCAAGAACGAGCTAGACAGCATACTGCTCGGCCCCTTCAGGGACAGGTATGACTCTCTGAGTTCATCGGCGTTCTGAGATTGGGCATATACCTAGAGCGAGGTCGGGGGGGGTGCACAG